TACATAGTATGTTCACTTTGTAAAAATTTATCAAATTATACACTTATTCTCTGTGTACTTTTCTGTATATATGTTATACTTAAATACAAGAAAGAAAATACATAAAAGAATATACAAGGGATCAATAAAATAGTTTAGAAGAAAACAGAAGAGAATATCATCACGATTTTGGGCATACAAAAATTTCTTAACCAGGACACAAAGAAATTATCATCATAAAGGGAAAAAATGATGAACTGGACTACATTAAAAATAACTTGTCATTAGAAAATTTCATTAATAAAGTGGGAAAGCAGCCCACAGGCTAGGAGAAGATATCTGTAACACATATATCTGATAAAGGACTCAGATCAAGAATATATAAAGAACTTCTTAAAGAAAAAAGAAAGTAGAATGATTGGCAAAGAAATTGAACATATAACTCACTAAATCAAATATTCAAATAGATAATAACCATAGTAAAATATGTATGGCTTCATTAGTTATTAGGAAGATGAGTTAAAAACTACAAATTTTTATTTTTTGACCCCCTACATACCTACTAGAATGGCTAAAATGAAAGAAGATAGATAATATTAGGCATTGACAAGGATGTGGAACATCATGTACTGCTGTGAGTGTGTAAATTGGTATAAGCACTTTGGAACATGTTTTGGCAATATCCACTACCCCTGAACCCAAGCGCACCTGTGATGGAGCAATTCCACTCCGAGGTATCAGAGAAGGGAAGGTACAGCTCTCCCCAAATCATATACAAGAATGTTTAAGCATAATGATTTACTGTATAGCACAGGAAATTATACCCAATATCTTGTAATAACCTATAATAGAATATAATCTGCAAAAATACGGAATCACTATGCTGTATACCTTAAACTAACACGATATTGTAAATCAACTACACTTCAATAAAAAACAGAAACAAAGAAAGTTCATAGCAGCACTCTTTGTAATAGCTAAAAACTGGAAACGTACCAAATGTCCATTACCAGGAAAATGGATTAAACATTTTGTTGTGGTATATTCTGCAATAGAATACTGTACTGCAATGAAAATAAGTGAACTAAACTACATGAAACCATATAGATGAATTTTGAATCTTAGGACAAAATGTTGGGTAAGAAGTTAGATTCAAAGAATTAAATATACAGTAGTCCGAAAACAGACAAAACTCATCTATGGTTTTGGAAGTCAGGATAGTGGTTACCCACAGAACGGTGAGGGTAAGGACAAGAAGGTGGGGCAGAGGGAGCTTCTGGGAAAGGATAATCTATTTATTGACATGAATACAGATTATGCAGGTATATTCACTCTGTGAAAATTCATCTAGCTGTAAACATGTACTTTTCTGGATATACCTCAACATTACGATTACGGAAGAAAAATTGTTTAAAGTACTGTATCAAGAAAACACAGGAGCCGGTTTAAAAAAGCCCAGGCAGACCAAAGATGAGCAATTTAAGTATCATAATAATAATAGTTATTATGGATTAAAGCACATTGAATCAATGGTAATCTGTAGGTTCATAATGACACTCAAATATAAGGAAATATTGAAAAATAATATGCATCACTCTTTGAGCTAAAAGAAAGACAGTACCTCCTTACTTTCCCAGGATTTAATTATTAATGGGCCACACTTTTACTCTCAAATTGTCCCTGTTTGGCTGATAAATTACATATTATCTCACTAATAAGTCAGCTCCTTATTTTGTATTGTGGATTGATAAATGAAAGGGAAGAACTTTAAGCATTTATCCTGCCTTCTCAGGGTAACTAAATAGACTCAAATGAAGAGACCAAGGTTTATTTTACAGAAGAGTTTTTACTACAGATGAAGATAAAATAGAATTAGAAAACCATCTTTCTACAAACTATAACAAATGCTCTGACTCCAATAAAGATTATCAATTGTTAAAAGTATTATTTTAAAATTATTATTGTGGTTGATGGAGAATAGGATATTCCTATGGTTTCCAAAATAACACCACAATAATCACTTGTTTTTGTCACTAAAGGAAAAGTATGTACAACTGAAGAATGGCGAGATCAGATTAGCATCACCCTAATGCAGCGAACAACTTTATCATAATTAAGGCTAAATCAGCAAGATATTAGGTCTCCAGATATGCTTCACATCACCTACGGTTTATTTTAGAAACTACTTAACTTGATTCCATCAAGTTCTTTTGATTTAAATTTCAATTTACTGAAAATGCAAGGTATAGAGAAACAAGCTAAGTGACATCACCAGACAAATCCAGAAGGTGGAATAAACTGTAGGAAAACTGGTTCAGTTTTGTTTTGTCTTTTTTTTTTTAATAAATCAAGGATGGTGAAAAAAATGTAGCTTGATTAAAAGAGACTTAAGGGGCCTAATAATCAGAGGAAATGAAAATACTGGTTTAAACAAACCAGTAGTATGGTGCATTTTGTGAAACTTGGGTAAATTTAAGCATGGATTGGTATCAATAAGATGAAAATTTATTGCTATGAAAAGACAATGATAATTAATGGGGGGAAATTAGGTTACAAAGCCACAGATATGGAATGGTCTCTTAAAGAAGAATATATAGTCTTTGCATGTATGTGTATAAACAGAATATCTGGAAGAATGTGCAGATGTTCAATAGGGTTTTAGAAGTAGTGGTATAGGTGGAGAGAAGATGGTCCCATGGTATTTAAACAAGATACATTTTTGGTTGTTTTTGCTTTCCAACTTTCTACAATGCACATATATAACTTTTATAATAAGAAAAGGCTAATTTCAGTTAAAAATGTGATATTAGAAAGTCATGATTAATCAAGGGATAGGTAAATAAGATTGTTCCATTTTATACATTTTTATTTTTTCCTATTGCAATTAACAGGACATGGCTAAATTATAGTACTCAGAATTTTGTGGGTTATTTTAACGATTCAACCTAATAACCAGATATGAGTATACTTTGGGCTTATGTTATTTTTTTCTTTCTGAGCATGCTGAGCTACCTCTATGTCAATTATTGCTTCTTCACAATTTGATATTTATTTTGCTGTTCACTGTACAACAAATATATTTTGTAGTTGCTATACAAAATATATTCTTTGTTATGCTTTATTTTGGAAAGCTTCATTAGATTACAGTGGATTAGGAATGAACATTCCCAAGGGGATTTTTAAAAAAAAAATACTAATATTCTTCCCAGGATATGCAAAATGTTTTTATTGAGAAAAATATTCAAAACATTAATAGATTTCGATTATCACCATAATCCTCTGAAATTTTTCCTCATAGAAATGAAACCTTTAAGGAGGGAAAACTTTGTATCTCTAAAATCTAATTAATTATTTAATTAATTTTACCCTGCCTTTCCCCAGAAGTATTTCAAGAGACTTATTAGAATATATAAAACATGACAGACAATATATCATAAAATAAATATGGGAATAAAAAATTTAAAAGCTAATGTTGAGAAAAAAGAACAACACAAAATAAGCTTTAAAATGCTTAGAATAATACCCATATAACTAGTAAACATAATCTACAATTACTTTTGTTAAATGTCAGTTACAGTTAATAACATCCATGAAATAAAAGTGAATCAGTTGCTCTTAATTCTAAGATTATATTATAAATTCTCCTGAGATACTAATAAAGAGATGTCATATGAAGTCATGAACATCATTCTCAGCAATGTATGTACCAGTTTCCATCATCTCGTTTTCACATTATCTTTAGCTTTTTAAATTGGAAACACTTCTTTTGGGAGCTTCAGACGTTCACAACTAAATTTCCATATTCCAAAGAACTAATTTGTAGTTCAGTTGATAGTCTGTTAAGGTACTGTATGGCTATTAATGCTATTCATGTGAGTTTCAAGGAACCAGAAAACCTGAGGTTAAATTTTATAACTTTAAAAAAAACTCTACAATTAAAAAAATTGAAATATGTTTATATTATGGATATGAACAAAATCCCTTTAGCAATTATTCATTGATTTCTTTAAGTGTATATATAATTCTATTTTTTCAAAAAGCACATATTTTGTGAGGAAAATTGATTTTTTTCAATAGAGAACTGTTGAGCCTTTATTGCTTTCAAGCAACAAATATTTTTTACATTTTATCATATGTCAGCTATTTTGCTGGGTGCTGAGGATCCAGTGGTGAGAGGACACCTGAATTGGTGAATTCTAATATGTTACATTCTTGAGATACATTTGGATGCCCAATCAATGCTGAGTGAACTCCCCGGTTTAGCTATTAACTGCTGTAGTTTAATATTTGACAATCTATAGGCAAACTTGGAGTAGTGATTAAAAAAATACACAGATCTTTAATGTGGTTAATGAGGAAGAAGGTCAGCACTGACTCTGGTATTAATTTAGCATTTGCTTTTGACATTTAGAGTTTGGAGGGGGATCGTTTTACCTTTAACTCACACCAGTGGCTGGTACATGAAGCTGTTATTTTCTTTTTCTATTTTAACAGAATCAGAGCAATGGTAAGTTTTGATATACTTGTTTGAATTTTGGAAGAATCATCTTCTTCAAAGTTATCAAATAACTCACTCAATTGAGAATACAAAAAGTGAGCCAAAAACCAGGGAAAGAGCTAAGAGTTTGTCAATCCTTTCAAAGATTAGAATCTCTGACCTCTTTTGAAAGTTGTTTTCTATTCTTAAAGCATCATTTAATTTTAATATCACCATGTCACTATCTCTAGCAGCAATATCACAATAAACAGTTTTATATCCCAGCAACCTTATCTTAAAATACAGGGAAAGTGTACGTGTGTATATGTGTGAGAGAGAGAGGGTAAAAGAATGTGGAAGAATATAAGAATAATTGAGAAGGAGAAGTGATAGGAGAATCAAACTTGTTGATTAAGCTAAGCAATTAATTTAGTTGAACAGGAAGTCTAGATAACTGTTCCTGGATTGGCCGGCTATTTTATTAACCTGAACATATTGATTGGTTAGTTAAACAACATATACACACTGACTGATATGTGTCACTTCACACCCTAGTGTCTACAGCATACATTTTGGCAGTCTGTGTCCGAGGGGCTGCATATGACTGGGCCATGGAAACAGCTGTAGTTGAATAGCCTTTCCTCCTGGAATAAGGATAGTTCCTCTCAGGTCCAACATCTGTTTGGAAGAGATAAACATGGCGATATAAAAATAATTATGGCTCAGTAAAGTTTGGGGGAAAATGTAATTTTATATACTCTTACCCAAAAGAGGCAATAATATAAATATTATAAGAAGGAATCATCTAAGAACCTAGAAGAAACTCTAAGATTTTCAACTGGAAAGTTATTTTTAGATTTAAAATTCAATCAAGTAATTTCCTTTTCTTTTCTTTCTTATGAGAAGAGGGATTTCCTTATTTTTTTTCAGTGACATTTTGAGAAACCCAATAGTAACACATCACACTTTTTAACAACAAGTATGCATTTGACTTGGCTCTCTGTTTACTTCTCTGTAGATATAAATTGTAGATATAAATTTAGTTGATTCGGTGAAGTGAGATATATAAGATTATGACACATCAAAATAACCGTTATATATTTGAATGTTAGATACAGTTGTAGCTGTAGTATTCTTTTTTTTTCTTTTCAACAAATATACCACTAATAGGCTAGTAAGTTTCTAGTATTGCAAATCAGTTGTCCTTGAACAACTGAAATTTCTAATGGTAATAGGTAGGGATCAAGTTATCAACATTAGTTTGAGCTGGTGAGTTGTGTTTCCATTGGGTTGGGAGGAATGATACTGGAGGCAGGGAAGTGTGCTATTTTATTTTGTTCTTACCTTTGAAGAGGTATAAGCAGCATGTGAGGACAGCACCAGCCAAGAAGCATCCCAGAGACCCAGCCATTCCAAGCCAACAGGACCAACCAAATTTATATTGGATGCCAAGAAATATATTGTGCAAAACCAGAGAAGAACGTTCCACATAAACATCAACAGCATACCACACAGAGCCAATGATTCCCGGGGCACCTGAAGGAGATGAAAATTGCTAAAAATAATGCAGGCCTTTTAAAAATTTAAATCCAAGGAGATTTAAGAGTATTCTACTGTATTGTATTTAAGAGTATTCTGTGGCTCCCCAGACCCATGACTGAAGTTATGTCAGCTACATAATCGGCACCCATATGGAAACTGTGTTTTTAAAGTCCTTCATTTTAGTACTTTGAGGTTAAAAACAAATAACTGGAGTAGAAATTGAAAATTTATCTAACACTCCCACACCATATTAGGATAGACTAAGAAATTTTGTCCATCTTAAATAAAATTTAATTCTCACAGATTAGTCTTTCTGAAAATTGATTGTCTTGAAACAATGCCACTAGAGTCCTCTTGCTTTAAAGGTATAAATTGCATGCCAGGGCTCAGAGGTAAGAAGAAAGAGTGGCGAGTTGTCAGACAAAAGGCTATATGAAAATGGTGCTTCTGAAATCTGTAACCCCCAAGAAACTCTCACATTTTTTCTCTAGTAAGTCTGTCTGTGATATCTATTGAAGTCACAATTTAATTGCATTCTTTTCCCAGTTGTTTAATGCAAGAAGTTTAAGAAGGACCAGATCATGAACACATAGTAACCATTAAAATACAGGGTGTAAATTACCACACCTTTCCCATAATACTGTAACCCATAGGTTTAGGATGAAAACTTTTTTTCGAAACTTAGAAACAGATTTTGGTATATATACATATACATATGTGTGCATATATATACATATGCATATATATATATATATACACACACATATATATGTGTGTGTGTGAAACGGAGCAGGACCTTATGGTCCTTTCTCCCCCACGTCCTCCGCCTGCCTTTTGTCTGTGGAAAAACTTTAGCCAAAGAATAAGTTTAATCAGAGATGTGAGAAAATGCAGAAGAAAAAAAAGCAGTCAGACAGGACAAAACAATGATAGTTTAGTCAGTAAGCAAAGTCAAGGACCTTTAGTTCCTTCTCAAGGGCTATGGATGGTACTCTGAGCCATATCCTGTGGGCTGTTTTATAGATACTGAAACCCCTACCAGGTGGAAGAAGTTAACTATATGATGAGCAGACTGTAGCCATGACATAAGCTGCCACAATTCTGGGAACTGGCCTTAAAGAAATGGGAACAAACTGACCATGGAACTGAAGATTAACTGTACTTAAAACAATCAAGATGATGCTGGTCAGACCACTGATGACCAATTTCAAGATGGCTGTCAGAGCTGACTGTACTGTTTCTACATGTAGCCCCTTCCCTCCACCTATAAAAGCTCTTGCTCCCTGATTGTCGGGGCGTGGAGGGGTGGTCAGCCTTTGGACAGGTGTCTGCCCTCCCCACTGGTTGCCTGCATCCAAAATAAAGCAAACTTTCCTTTCCACCATCTTTACCTCTTTATTGGCTTTTGAGTGGCGAGCAAAAAGACCCCACTTTTAGTTGTGTGTATATATCTATGTGTGTGCATATATATATGTGTGTGTGTGTATACATATAAATATATACATGGCATACTAATTTCAAATGAGGGTTCCAAGGCTTTGGCCATCTCTGGCAATTTAATTGAGTATCTCTTTAGCCATTCCTGCAGGGATTTTCTTCAGTGACTTATTTTTCTTTAAATTTAGTTCATTTTGCTATTTTATAAAAAATGGAGTAGATTAGTGATGTCTCAAAAAGCATTCTAGAATAAAATTGCAAAGCATTAAATGATGGTTAAATGTGTTACATGAACACGTTGTTACATACAAAAGCTTTATGTTATCACTAGGCTGGATATGGGAATGAATATCTTTAAAAGGAAAACAAAGTGCTAAATTCTTGTGATTTTTTAGTACAACCTAAGGATCCTTAGGGCCTTGTGTGAAAATATCAGGGAGGCCCCACTCTTGACTATGTGATGGGTGAGACTTTCAGCTATGGGCTTACTCTGCCCACATTGAGATCTTTACAACAACAATTAGGAGTAGATATTATTGCTGAGGCTTCACGCTAATTTGTAGACCAAGAAAAGGAGACAGATTAACTGGCCTAAGGTCACACATTTTATATATATATATATATATATATATATATATATATATATATATACATATATATATACCTGCAAGCATTTGCTAACTTTTTGCTGCTACCATAAAAGAAGATGGTTTTCTCTCTGGAGGGTAGACTCATTGGTTTTCAATCTTCCTACACTTTGACTTCTTTCACAGTGTACTTCCTCCCAACTTGTATTATGATCCAAAAAAGACATGACGATAAAGGAAGACTAAATTGAATTTGATGACAGACCTCAGTAAAATATCAATTTTGCTGTTTCACTAATAAACACCATATAAAGTGATTCTTGATGTATTGTTTAGTACTCATGCTTGATTTATGTCTTCAGAACTCCATTTATTCACCAGCTTCTTAAGTAGAGATAAGAGCATAATCTGTTTATTGTTACAGTTATGATCATATGAGTTGGCACATGAGAAAAGCCTAACACTGGACTTGGTACAATTTAGTTCATTGCCAAGAAGAACTGATAAGGGCGTGTGCAGGCAAGAAGGTGGCGGCTGGAGGCTTATTTTAGGATTTAACTTCAGGAATAATGACAATTTTTTTTTAAGTTAAAGCTTTATATAACTTTTAAAATAGTTAAAAAATAGTTTGAGGACTTCAATAAACCCTGACCAGGGATATTAACAAAAGATTAATTCTCTGATTCCAAAACTAAGGAAAGCAGCGTTGGTAGATGTGCTCCTTATTCCTTCAATCTAGAAAAGCAAGTCAAATATTATCCTAAAATGAACTACTTCAGAACAGCACCCTTCTTCATCCCAAGACCTTAGTTGAGTATCTTTATCCCCATCACTAGTCCAGACCAATACCTGCTATAAGTAATGTGGTTCCAGCAACAAAGCAGATGCGGACTTTGATGTATGGCTCATCAGGGAGGAATTTCACACAGTCAAGACCAAGGAGCAGGATAATAAATCCAAATCCAGCTAAAATATCTGCAGTAATCATCAGCGCCCGAGTTACCACCAACTTCACTAGAAGATCAGAGCATGTGGTTTCAGCATAGTCAGAGGAAGGAGACATGTTAATACACAGAGGTACACCAAAAAACAGACAACCACGTACATTAACACATGCCCACCGAATAAAATCAGACTTTAAATATGCATGAACTTGAAAATAAATACCCTTAATTTTTCATAAAATGCAAAAATAGTACGAGACTATCAACAGTATTATTTGGTTAAGGACTGCTTATTATAGTCTTGTTGGCCATCTAGTAAAATGCCTGGCATATGGTGGGGACTAAATAACTACTTCCTTTTTGCCTCCTGTTTTGGAATGAGTTTCATTCACAAGTATTAGCTTAATGCTGAATTGAAAGTAGAGTGTCTCTTCTTCTGAAGACAACCAATAAATATTCAATAAATAAATAATCACTACATTTGTTTGAAGTTTTATTTGAAAAAATGTAGCAAATTGGTTAAAATAGGGGAGCAGAATAAAATACTTCAAGACATCTCTTGCCAGTTCAGGTAGGAGCCATCAGCAGATCTTTAGAAGGAGAAGGAGCTTCCATTATTAAACAGAAGACTATTTATTTTCTTTTATTCCTTCAGGTGGTGACCCTTCTTGGCCAACACCTTCAACCTTGCATTGTCAACGAAGCATATTTTAAAGCTATGGCCAATGAGAATATGTGGTAGAAAGTCCAGGAAAGAGAAGATCAGGTACATAGAAGTAGAATAGTAGCAGTCATCTGCAATCATCAACTGTGAAAGCCTCCTCACCTGTGAGTCCCAGTGACACTAAATTAAAACAAGAATAATGTTGCCACAAATGGAGGGTTAAGTATCTGAAGTCAGAACTATTGTTACTTTAGCTGGCTACTGGAGAGGAGTAATAAAATTTATTCCTTTGATGGTATCATAATTATGTTTTATTTTCATAGTGACCTGGAGTTTCCTTGTATTGAAATAATTTTTCCTCAATGATGAGGCAACTTTAGGGGCTATTTAGTTATAGATGGCTTGTGAAAATGTGGCCAATTTTCCTCATTTCAAAATTATTTTTATAATCCATCTAAGAGAGGAAATCAATGCATAAAATCAGTTTCTACCTTATTAATAGGTGAATATTTAAGATCTCAAAATTTGACATTATTTTCTAAAATTTAGGCTCAAATTTCAAATTTTGGCCAAATCTAAAGTTCATTTTGCTTTCTTCAAAATTAAGGAAAGAGAAAACTATGTAACTCGTTAGGTGTTATGAGTTTTTATATTTTAGCAGATCTCCTTGATCCTCAAATGTTATATATAAGTGGGCTTCCTATTCAGCACCCCAAACTAAGTGGTCCCACATTTTGGAGTGCCTCCCTTGAAATTTTCTAAGTCCTCTTCTGGAACCTGGGATCAACAAGGCCAGGGTTGCTATCTGGATGGGGTGCCCTGAAATCATTGTTGGCCCTGGTTTTCCCCTCTCTGACCCTTGCTCCCATACAAAGTGTGTCTCAGATGCTCTGTGGAACTACAGGACTCATGCCTATGGTGTCATCCAGGGGCCACATGGCTAGCCCAGTTCCAAGAGGGCAGCTCTGCAAGAGATTGCTAATGCTGGCCAGCCAGGAATTTCCTTCTGGAGATTATCTGAGATTTGGCTGCCAGAATAATGTTAAATACCCTGATTTGTGGGGTGGAGAAGGGCTCAAATTAACAGTATCAACAGGAGCCCTAAAAACTGCATCTCGGGGCTTCCCTGGTGGCACAGTGGTTGAGAGTCCGCCTGCCGATGCAGAGGACACGGGTTCGTGCCCCGGTCCGGGAAGATCCCACATGCCGCGGAGCGGCTGGGTCCGTGAGCCATGGCTGCTGAGACTGCGCGTCCGGAGCCTGTGCTCCGCAACGGGAGAGGCCACAGCAGTGAGAGGCCCGAGTACCGCAAAAAATAAATAAATAAATAAACAAATAAATAAAAATGCATCTGGGTCTAAATACTCTAAGCATACAAGGTAATGAGAAAGATGATCTAATTGTGATTGTATAAAAGATACCAAAGACTAAAAATAAAATCTACTCTCTTACAGGTAACATCCTAACTTAGAGGGTACAGTTATATTATTTTCTAAGAACTCATTTTCATCGCTCTAGTCTTTAAGCATATGATGGAATTTTTTAAAGAAAATTAATGGATTTTTAGCATATTATTTGAAAGTAATAGGTAAAAATATATCAAAAGACAAATGTGAGATAGTATAGGCAAAAGATAAAGGACCATTTAAAAATATAAACAGTGGTTTTCTCTGTGTAGTAGGCTTGTGAATAATTTTATTTTCTTCTTACATAAATGTATATAACAAATATTTAAAAGTTTGAAATATTTCATCTTTCTATTTTCTTCTCAACTCTAACCATAGAACTGCATTTCTGCAATAGCCTAGGGTCCACGTGAACATGAATGCCCATTCCTATTGACCAAATCGTGCTTCTTTGTAGATAGAACTAGGTTAGTGCAAGAAGGGAAAAAAAGAGGAAAACATAAAAGGCCTTTTTCTAAAAAATGAAATAAAAAGCTTTATGAATTAAAAAATGTTTCAGGCACTCAAATCCTAAATGGCAGAGAAAGATATTTGTAGAGCACAGCTCCTTTTAAGTGCTTTTCCCTGCACCAAAATAGCAGTTCAGGGGAAAAGTCACATTCTAAGGGTTTACTTTTCATTCATCTTGAGAAAAGAAGTTGTGATATTGTACCACCACCCATCATTTGATTTGAAAGAGACTAAAACCAATTTGCTTTAATAACAGCAGCAGTACTTCTTGGCACGATTAGATGTTCTAATAAGTAAATAAACAAACAAACACACAAATAAATAAATAAATGGTATGGAGAAGAGTTGAGAGAATCAGTAATAAGGTTTTTCGATCTATGAAGTCTTTTATTCATAGAAACATGGGCCTTGTTAACACCTAATTATAATTTAAAGCTAAAGGTAGGGAAGATCTAGGAGATGGCTTTATTATTTCTGCTAAGAATGTGTCACATATTTTAATGTTTTTCATTCCCTGATCCCACAGTCTGTGTCTCCCTTTGCCTATCTCTCTCCCTATTTGTTTTTCTGTCTCTGTCTCTGGCCCTCTATATCCACTGTCTCTCTATCTTAGCAAGTCATCCATTGAAATACTGTAAACTTTCTATCTGACCTAAGTCATAGCTAAAAGACATCTCCGAAATGCTTTTCATTTAACCGGTCAATTCTAATCATAAAATCACTGCACCCTGAAGATTTCATTTCAATTTAAAAAGTGTTTACTATAAGCCTGCTGTAGTCGGCTTATACCAGACCCTTTGTGGGATAGCAGAACTGAACAAGATAATATTTTTACCCTAAAGGAATTTATAAATACATGGGAAAAGATAAAATATGCTAAAAACGTTTCAATTCACATTTCAGAAATAAACTAAATTTCTCTTTGAAACATTTAAAACTGGACAGAAACTTAATATTGAATCGTAAAAAAAACAAAAACACATAATGGAAACCTGAGTTCAATTTCCTTTGGTCTTCCCTCCCTGACAAGGGTGATGTCTAAGGCATACGTACAGGGGTGTTCAGCAAGTATAGAATCGTACTCATCACAGGTGCGAATCCCATCAAAAGCATTTGTGACACACTCCCACCAGAGGCCTCGGCATTTTGTGCTCACCTAGATGTTGGAGAAGACACCATGTGAAACAACTCAGGCAGACACACTTCAATTCACCTTGATCAAAGGAAGAACTTGGCTGTTGTGAGTTTGATAGCAAAGTACAGTGGTTACAAGCATGATCAGAATTTCATTTACAACAAACACAATGCATTTTAGAGTATTTTCCCTTAAGCACTAACAACTCAAGGCTTTCCCCACCAGGAAGTAAAATCACTTCCTGATTTGGGGGTGGGGGGCGGAAAGAAGTCATGCCTAAGATGGATAAAATCAGAATTAAACATATGCAAATGCCTATGGCTGGTTCTATCATCGAGTCAGTTTAATAGGGCGACAATTCATTTCACTACCATATGCTGACCTTTACTTATCCAAAAAAAAAAAAAAAATCAATATAACAATAGGTGATAACTGCTGACATCTTGAGTCTATTAGGAATGTATATTAATTTTTCTTCATCATGAACAATGAGTCCCATGAAGAAACATGTTATTATATATGAAGTTCATAAATTTAAAATAATGGTCAAAGAAAGTTATACATAAAGACCGTACTACTTCTTCCTTGCTCCACTGATGGACTACCAATGTTTAAGCTATGAGATGGATGTAAACAAACTGAACATTAATTTCATACAACCTTGCAGTCATAAATCGCTTTTACTTAGAAATGCTGTACAGATGATTCTAAGTATCCACTTAGAGCGAAAAGGTACAAGTGTCCTGAGCCTTCTCATATTTTACCTATAAGCTGCAAGTCAAAATAGATTTCCTAGAATTGTAAACATGCCAACAGAAAATGTGTTCAAGTATTCTTGACAGAGCTCATACATATGGAACAGAACTAATATGATTGTTTATTCTGATTTGATTACAGATTCACATTACCTTGGCAATCTGGGAATAGTTTAGCAAGATTTAACCAAAAATTATCTTGGAAAATGAAAGATTGTTTATTCTGATTTGATTACAGATTCACATTACCTTGGCAATCTGGGAATAGTTTAGTAAGATTTAACCAAAAATTATCTTGGAAAATGAAAGCTTAAAGTTTTCCTTAAAGAAAGAAGAAATAACAGAGCAGAGTGGGAAGAGAAATGCAAAGACAGGGAGATTATAACGGGTGCAGAGAAGAAAGGAAGGAACATGAAACATTTGATTTGCAAAAGAAAATTATATCAGAGAATATTTGTGCTACGAAACTCTTTGACCCATATGCTTTGAAGTTGTGCTGTGCACCAAATAAAACTCTACTGCTGGCTACTCCATCACAATTTTGAATGCTGTACTTCTATTTTCACTGTGTATGTAAAATGCTTATCATTGGTAATAATTAATAATTCTATATTGAATCTATACTCTGAAGCAGTTACTGTTTAAGTGTATTATCACCTCACTTATTAATTAGAGGATCCTGTGATCTATCATTATTACTGTCCATTTTACAAATAAGGAAAAGGAGGCACAGGAAATTTAAGTGATAACCCCAGAAAGTGTAGTTAAATGGAGGAGATAGGATTCAAACACAGCAGTCTGTGTGTACGCTCTTAAGCATTGCAGTATACTTGAAACCTATTTTTTTAAATTCTAATTTTACTTCAGGTGAAAGTACTCCAGAATTGGAAACTGGAAGATAGTTTTGGGTGAAGTAGTAAGCCCTAACTTTAATCTCATCCTATGGCCATTATTCTATGAAACCTCACTTTGGCTTGCTCTTCCTAAGATTAAATCTAGTTGTGATGTTTTAGAATGTTGGAATATTATCTGACCTGAGGCACCACAGAGACCAAAATATTGATTAAAAAAATCCATCCTGCGAAACCTAATATATCAATTTCTAAAGAAGGATGTGAATATCTAAACTTACATGTACATGAAATTTAAGCTATAACTGAAAAAACACAGACTTTAAATTGACACTCTTATTAGCTGTGTTGCATCCTTGGAAAGGCCTTACCTTTTTTGAGCTCAATCTCCTTATCTTTATAAAGGAGCTAATGCTAGGGTGACTATAAGAATTAAAAATTACAAACACACACAACATAAATGATTTGCTCAATAAATGATAATACTAGTAAAGTACTTAAACAGCATAGTAACCTGAGTAGTGACTAAGTTCAGCATTACTAACTAACCATATGAAAGTGGAGAAAGGTAGATGCAATGGGTAGAATGGCAGCCCCCCAAAAGATGTATCCATGTTCTAATTCCCAGAACCTGTGAATGTGACCTTATTTGGAAAAAGGGACTTTGCATATGTAGTTAAATTAAGGGTTTTGAGAAAAGTAGATCCTCTTGGATTACCAGGGTGGGCCCTAAATCTAATGACAAGTGTCCTTATAAGAAGAGACACACAGAGGAGAGACAGATAGAAGAGAAGGAAGCAATGTGCCCACAGACACAGACACTGGCGTGACGTGGGCCCACATCAAGGAATGCCTACGTCACCAGAAGCTGGAAGAGGCGAGGAATGCATTCTCCTCTAGAGCCTTCAGAGGCGGTGTAGCCCTGCCAAAACTTTGATTTCAAAATCCTGGCCTTCAGAACTGTAAGAGAAAACTGTCTCTTGTGTTAAGTCACCAAATTGTGGCAATGTGTTACGGCAGCCCTAAGAAATGGATAGTAGAGACAATTTGTACTGAACTATTATACCACAACAGAAGACAAGCCTTCTCATAGCCTATGACCCTTCAGTCTCTCAATTAACAGGAACACACTGGATCCAGTTCATTCCAATTTGAGCTAGGTCATATGGACCTGAAGTCCTATTCTATAATCAGAGAGTGACTATCCCCAATTTCCTGCTGTCTAACTCAGTCACTGAAACAAACAAATAAAACCTACTATAGTCATTCTCATTATATGTGAGGTTATTTAGGAAATGAGCTGAGCTATATATGTGAGGATATTTAAACTAAAAAGAGTATTTTTTTCTTGCCAAAATAATCCAGTAATGGTGTCATTTTCAAGGCTATTGATCATTTACCTGCAATGACCATATTTAGAAAAGCAATGAGCTCATTAAAGGAAACAAGGAATCCAATTTCATTAGGTATTAATGCTTAGGGGCACAATATTAGATTGCTTGGTATTCACACTCAGTTAAGGTACGTGAGAATAGCGGCTGTAATTAACTAAACTTCTGTGTTAATATAGCACTTACTGGAGACACCCTTAAAGGTGCCTTTGTGCACAAAATACAAGGTTAAAAGACTGTTCGTTATTTATCACATTTAGGAAAGCCCTCCTTGCCTATAATTTAGAATCTTCACTTACCCTCCTGTTGTACAATGGCTTATTAAGAACTCTCTAAAACAAGCAAATCTACATTCTTTAAAGTTTTAAGGCAAAGTTCTTACAAAGCAGACTCATGCTTAAAATATTACAGTTAACCTTACTTAACGGGTAAAAACAATGTTAACTAATAATTTTATCTCACAACGTTGTCCAAAATAGACGATTACAAATTTAATCTTTGTGCTCTTAACATGTGATTCATATATTAATAAATAACATATAAAATAACACTCAGGGAATTTTTATACCATTTCAATAAATATCTGCTGGTCCTGAAGTGGGAAGAAGTCAGTTTATCCAAGATGTGGCAATAAACGGGCAAGTCACAAACATGAGGCCAACCTAAATTTCTTAATATTAATTACCTGCCAACAGTGAAACAGAGAGATTTTACAGAAGAGTACAGATTTCTGGCTTCCCTTGGAAACTTGGTCAGTCTGGCCACCTGGACTCCCTGGCTGCACGTAGCAGCAATTAGCAGGAGCTGAGTGGATCTTCAAATTTCTCCCTGTCATTTAAATCTCACCTCAAAGATATCCCTTCTTCCATGAGATTCTCCCAGTCTCTCCAGCTGGAGTTAATCTCTTCTTGGATCCCACAGTAACTAGTCCATATTTCTATAGCATTTATAATATTGCATTATCTTTCTATGTGCATTTATGTGCATCTGTCTCCCAAGTCTGCCTTTCAAACTATGTTCACTAAATGTCTGTCATGTGTCAGTCAACTGGCTAAGTGCTGGGGATACAGCAATGACCAAGATAGGCATGGCACCTTGCTTCAAGGAGCTTCCAAATCCGCCTTCTCAGTATATAATAGATGCTCAAAAGATGTTTACTGAGGGAAAATATTTGTCAATTTTTCTAATTCATACACATTAACTCTCATTTCTCACTTGGCATAGAAAATGGTTACTGATATACTGTACACACAGTTGAGGCTTAATATGTCCTTTTGACTTGACTGAACAGACTAGAATGTCCAAATCCAGGAGTTAAAGAAATATTATTGAGACCAGAGAGTTTATGCTGATTTGGTGTCAGCCTGGACCCTATCTACTCAACTGGCTCTGGAAAGTGTTTACCACAATACTAAGGATGAGCAGGATACCACATAGAAAAATAGTTTCAGGAAACTTTTGGGAAGAGGGACTGATGGTCCCTCTTCCTAGTTGAGTTTATAATGGCATAAATTAATTCCTTAATCCTGGAATTTCTTATTCTAACCTCTTTAGCAGTTTCCAATTAAGGTTTCTCTTTTCTCTATGCTAGCCTTTGCCAATTTCCCTTTTCTTATCCCTCTGAAAATATTTACAAGTGGCAACACACAATTTTGCCTGCATTGTCTTATCTTCTGCAGTTTTGAGTGTGCCTGTCATGCCTCCATATATTTTATATATCTTTTGAGAAGAGAGAAACTTAAAAATACTTTAATTAATTGGCATTTTCTCCTCCTGTTACATAGGAGAAATTTACATATATGTATATTGGGTTGGCCAAAAAGTGTCTTCGGTTTTTAAGTAAAAAAAAAAAACCACATTTTTCATTTTCACCAAGAACTTTATTGAACAATGTATTCACCGTTTTGTTCCACTACTTTCTGCCACTTTTCAGGCAACTTCATAATTCAATCTTCCCCAAACTTTTTATCTTTCTGAGCAAAGAACTGTTCCAAATGCCTTTTACAATCTTCCAGGCAATTGAA